TGAGGAGAGAAACCTATCCCTGAAGCAGCTCTGATTAGTTACTAATCCCTGTGTCACTGGCAAATGGGGCCACTAGCCAGTCAGAAGGAGTTTTCTCTCAGGCAAGGCTCAAATTTGGTAGAGGGCCAGAGGTTCTCTTTATGGTCCAACTGGCTTCAGCACCAGGCAAACTGTCATAACGAGATCACAAGAGCTGGCAAAAATGATTACTGTCTATGGGCCCCACTGGCAAATCTGTTGCTTTTACTGTCCGTCTCAGCAGAAACGGAAGTTACACTTTGTGGTTCAGTGCTATCTTGTCTGTATAGGTATTAACATGGCCCCTTCTCTTGTATCCAAGCACCTCAAACACAGAGAAGGTCCATCACCTTTGTGAGGGAAACATTGTCCCAGTTTACAGATGGGAAAAACTGAGTAGAATCACCCTATGCTGAACACTGGATATCTGGTAAAATTATTCATATTCAAGTGAGTTCAATGGCAGTCTATGCAGTACAGATTAACATCAAGTTAACTGAGCCCCTGTTAAATATAAAGACTGCAACTCTTTCTTTTTACCTTCTTATCTTTACAGCTTTCACAGAGACAGCTGACATGCACGCATTCCCATCCCCTCACACTGGGGTGGGAGTGACTTGAAGACCTGACCCAATTTTCTCTACTCAGTGCTCTCCATCCTCCATGCCTGGCTGGGCCCCCTCCCCCCCAAGCACAAAGGGTCAGTTTCCAGTAGGGATGCCAGATGGTTTAACCAAAAATACCGAACCCCCCCCAAAAAAAACACTGGGGGAAAAAAGCCGCCACCTCGCTATCCCCGAGTAAATGCCCTATCCCCTAGGCCCACCACCTTACTCTCAGGGAGCTCTTTATCTCACCTCTTGCTGGGGGGGAGGAGAAGGGGAGCCCTGGACTAGAACCTGCAACCCTGCCCTCCCCAGGTGAACACTCTATCCCCTAGGCCACCCCCCAAAAAAAACCACTGCGGGAAAAAATTCTGTTGAAGGGGAAAAAAAGGGAGACCATGCGTTATTAAGCAAAAACAAATTAAATAAAAAAATAAAAACATAATTAAATAATAAACAGCATTACCCCTTTCAGGGTGTGTGCAGAGTCAGAATAGGGTTGGAAACAGGGGAGATGTTGAGCACTAAGTCCCAGGGAAGGCATTGCTTTTTGCCGGTGGCCATTTTGTTTTCTTGATCAAGCCAGAACGCAGCTTCCCTGAAGAATTTGGTAAGCAGTGGGTCCGGGGGTGGGGGTGTCAGGGACCCAGAGAGAGAACGGGGGCTAGGCCCAGTTGCTGAGTGTGTTGTAGGGTTGCCAGGTGTCTGGTATTTTTGCCTCCTGGACAGGAAAAAAAAATCAGAAAATACCGGATATTTTAGGTGTCCAGTATTTTCTGAACTTTTTTTTACAGGACAGGAGGTGAAAATACCAGACACCTGGCAACCCTAGTTTCCTGATTTCTGTCAGGGTTCACACCAGACCATGGCAATCAGCAGCCTTTCTGCACTGTGCAGGAGGGAACGGATGGGAACTGCTTCCAGCTGAATGGGGGTGGTTTAGGGATAACCTGGAAGCACTTTGTCCCTTCCTGCCAGTAAAAAGGCACCTAACATCTGCAAGTTGCTGCTGGTCACCAGCATAACTCAGCCACTTCTGACCCCAGGCTACAGTGCAGGTTAGAAGAGGTTAAACCCTAAGGCTGTGTCTACACTGGGCCACTTATTCCGGAAAATCAGCCGCTTTTCCGGAATAAGCTGCGAGCTGTCTACACTCGCCCTTGAATTTCCGGAAAAGCAATGATGCTCTACTGTACAAAATCAGCCACTATTCCGGAAAAACTATTCTGCTCCCGCTCGGGCATAAGTTCTTATTCCGGAACACTGTTCTGGAAAAGGGCCAGTGTAGACAGCCCAGTAGACTTTTCCAGAAAAAAGCCCCGATAAGCGCGTCTACATTGGCCACAGACGCTTTTCCGGAAAAAGGGCTTTTCGGAAAAGCAGCCTGCCAATGTAGACGCTCCTTTTCCGGAAAAACTGAAAACGGAATAGTATTCCATTTGAAGCATTTCCGGAAATTCATGCCAGTGTAGACACAGCCTTAGACTGCATTGGGAGGAGCTGGAGAAGTGGGGCTGGAGGGAGATGAACAAGCACAGCAGTGACAGGGGAAGCATGTAATGGGCTGATGAGTGGGCAGCAAAGGTGACACATAACCAGCCACCCCAGCAAGACGACAGCGTTGGTTGGAAACAGGATGTGGGAAGAGGACCTTCTGACCAAAAGGAGGCATGCAGCAGAGATTGCACTGATGGACCAGTGGTAAGAGCTTTGCCTGATCACCAGCCTTGCATATCCATCCCCATCATCAGCTATCAGACTACTTACCCCTGTGTTAGACCGAATCCTGCTTATTGGGACACAGGTTCTACATCTGCACCATATCTGTATCACTGTGCATTAACCAAGTCAAACAAAAATAGCTAAAGCTAACAAAATACTAAACTTAGGAAGCAAACATGAGATCTGGTTGTCACAAATGAAGCCTGGTGTGAGGCCAGAACCCCAAACAGGAATGATTTAAACAGTCTGACCAATGTCTCAATATCCAGAGAAAATAGGTACATGACTGTCTCCAGGCTGAGGGAAAGGAAAAAGCAGAGATGGGACGGAGTTGCAGAGGCCCAGGTAAGTGGACAGTCTTCTTGCTTCTGGTCTTCTTTCTTCTATACTTGACATGCCATCCTGCGTGTGGTATGCAGACTGGAGAACAAGATGGTGCATATGCGTGTATGCATGACTGGCCCTGCTAAGGGTTCCTAATTAAACCCTGAGCTTGCAATCATTACAATTGTGAAACTGGATTGCTGCACCACAAAGGGCTGTCAGCAACCAGGCTGCCTTCTGCCCCAGAGAGCCTACAAGGCCAAACAGCTTGCTAGCTGTTGCCCTGGCACCACTGTGTTGTGCTGATGACATGCATACAGAAAGCCCTAAGGGGAGGGTGAACTCCCCTTATGAGCCCTCTGGTTACCCGGCAGAATAGGGTCATGTGACTATGAACCTCCTGGTTACCCGGCAGATTAGGGTCATGTGACTATGAACCTCCTGGTTACCCGGCAGATTAGGCTTATGTAACCCATATCTTGAAGAGGAAAACGAAGTGGAGGACATAAAAACACTGGCACTCCTACCCCAACAACTGGTGCGGGAGGACTGCTGGTGAGCAAGGATTCAGATAGCAATAGGACCCACCAGTACAGAGGGGAAAGGAGAAGCAGAAAATGGGAGTTTGCTCATTTTTTAAAGTCAGGGCCACCTGCAACAGGGTTTAAATATGGGACTGTCCCATCTTTAAAGGGACAATCCATCTGGTCACCCTAAAAATTGAGCCACTTTTGCCAGGACACATGGAGTCTGACAGAGGTGGGAATTGACCCAGCAATCTTGTGTCATTCCACTGAACTGCAATAAAATCATCCTGTTCTTCTCTACCATTCTCCAGATACTCACTATTAATATAGTTTGGGGGTTCCCTAAATAGGAATGAGGTTACCACCTGCCGGATTAGGCCTCACTTACTTCCCATTGGACTAGGGCTAGGTCTACACTGGTAAAGAAAAGTCAATGCAAGATATGCAGCTCCAGCAACATGAATCTAAAGAGGATAGAGAAGTGCCGTTCTCAGCAGTGAGGTCATTGCTCCTTGTTCTGTTGCAGTGGGTGACGTCTAGGAAGGATATTTCATTACAGGAATGGTGAAGCACTGAATGGGAGGTGGTGGAATCTCCACCCCTAGGGCTATGTCTACATTGGCAAGATTTTGCGCAAATACTCTTTAACGCAAGAGTTTTTGCGTTAGAGTGTTTGTGCAAGAGAGCGTCTACACTGGCACAAGAAATTCATGTTGCCTGTCTACACTGGGCTCTTGCGCAAGAACACTTGTGCAAGAGGGCTTTTTCCTGAGTGGGAGCATCATAGTTCTTGCACAAGAAGCACTGATCTCTTACATTAGAGCGTCAGTGTTCTTGCGCAAGAACTCCCCGCCAGTGTAGACAGGCAGCAAGTTTTTGCGCAAAAGCAATTGCTTTTGCGCAAAATCTTGCCGATGTAGACACAGCCTAGATGTTTAAGTCCTGGCTTGAAAAAGCCCTGGCTGGGATGATTTAGTTAGGGTTGGTCCTACTTTTAGCAGGGGGTTGGACTTGATGACCTCCTGAGATCTCTTCCAACCCTATAAATTTTCTGGGGCAGCCCCACAGCAGGAGGTCAATAGGAAAAACTCTCCTGTTGACTTCCTTTACTCCTCATGACTGCAAGAAGTTTCAAGGTTGATGGTCCCACTCTCCCCCCAGCATTCAATTTAGTGGGTTCTTTACAGAGTCACTAAATCAAATGCCAGAATATCAACTTTCAGAGTGCTGATCTTCCTGGAAGTTAAGACAAGCC